AAGCAGAGTACAGCACTTTGTTTGGATTTCTTGGGTTATCCTAGGTAATTTATACAATGTATACTTGCATTTATGTGTACCTGTGAGACAGAGATAGACAGATAGAAAAAGAGACACATTAAAAGATACAGAATGAGGGAGAAAGATAATTAGACAGAATGGAGGGGAAGCAGCATCCGACCCCATTGTTTTGACAGGCGGGAGGGGGAGTGAGTAATGAGACAATATATCACTTTGACAGCTGCCGACTCCTGGCAATTTACACTATGGAGGAGGAGGAGGAGGAGGAGGAGGAGGAGGAGGAGGAGAAGGAGAAGGAGAAGGAAGAGGAAGAGTAGGAGGAAGAGTAGGGGGAAGAGGAAGAAGAGGAGGAGGAGGAAGAAGAGGAAGAGTAGGAGGAAGAGGAAGAAGAGGAAGAAGAGGAGGAGGAGGAAGAGGAATAGTAGGAGGAAGATTAGGGGGAAAAGGAGGAAGAGGAGGAGGAGGAGGAAGAGTAGGAGGAAGAGTAGGAGGAAGAGGAAGAAGAGGAGGAGGAGGAAGAGGAGGAGGAGGAAGAGGAGGAAGAGAGAAGAGTAGGAGGAAGAGGAAGAAGAGGAGGAGGAGGAGGAAGAGGAATAGTAGGAGGAAGATTAGGAGGAAGAGGAGGCAGAGGAAGAGTAGGAGGAAGAGTAGGGGGAAGAGTAGGGGGAAGAGGAGGAAGAGGAAGAAGAGGAGGAGGAGCAGGGGAGGAGGAAGAGGAGGAGGAAGAGGAGGAGGAAGAGGAGGAGTAAGAAGAGGAAGAGGAAGAGTAGGAGGAAGAGGAGGAGGAGGAGGAAGAAGAAGAAGAAGAAGATGATGTAATAATATTTTTCCCTTGAAACAAGAAAAAAAAAATCCACCCCATGACAGTGACAAGATAAGGGGAGATAACATCTGATAAGAGATGACTTTTGATGAGCGTAAACGAGGGTGGAACTGATAATAAAAGATTAGATGAACATCGCCCTCCCTTTGTTTCTGCTGGTACACTAACATTTCTGTCTGTCTATTTGTCTGTCTGTCAAGCTCCCTGTCTATCCGTCTAGCTCTCTGTCTCAGAGAGCTACAAGACTGCGTCATCACTTTTACTCACATCTTCAAGCGGAGTACAGCACTTTGTCTGGATTTCTTGGGTTGTCCTAGGTAATTTATACTATGTATACTTGTATTTATGTGTACCTGTGAGACAGAGATAGACAGACAGAAAGAGAGAGACAGATTGAAAGAGATAGAATGAGGGAGAAAGATAAAACACCACTGTGTATGACACCATGTTTCAGAGTTCCACAAGCTGCAGAACTAATAGGAATATGTTCAGTGACTGTATATTGGTATATATATTAAAGAACAATAGTAATAAACAATGTTTTGTATTGTTTGTTTTTGTAAACAAGTTTTGTAAACAATATATTGATAATTATGTTTGTGTGCTTATTGTGTTGTATACAACGAGTGTATATATGTACATTGCACCTTACTTTGGTCTCATAGGCCACATAAGTTATGTGAAAAAATAAAATAGTGAAAAAACAACAAACCTTCAAATACAAGTAAACCAAAGTTTACCGGTGAGCGGCAGTCGCCGCTGTTGCCATACGGGGCTCATTTTCTGCAAATTTTACGCCTCCATATCTCCATAAGTATTGATGGTAAAATTTTTTTGTTTATCCTACAATGTTTAGAAAAAAAAAAACTATTTTTTCATAATAAAAAATAATTTTTTTTTTTTTTGAAATTTGGCCGACCCTGAGAACGAGTTTCTGAGAGAGCCTGTCGACCCTCAAAGGGTTAAACAGGACATCTCCACTGCCTCCAACCGTCTCCTCGCTGCTGCATTTACCACCCAAGCTTCACACCCATATAATAGTGTTGGTACTACCATACTTTCATACATTCCCTTCTTTGCCTCCATAGATAACGTTTTTTGACTCCACATATACCTCAACGCACCACTCACCTTTTTTTCTTCATCAATTCTATGATTAACCTCATCCTTCATAAATCCATCAGCCGACACGTCAACTCCCAAGTATCTGAAAACATTTACTTCTTCCATACTCCTCCTCCCCAATTTGATATCCAATTTTTCTTTATCTAAATCATTTGATACCCTCATCACCTTACTCTTTTCTATGTTCACTTTCAACTTTCTACCTTTACACACTTTCCCAAACTCATCCACTAACCTTTGCAATTTTTCTTTAGAATCTCCCATAAGCACAGTATCATCAGCAAAAAGTAACTGTGTCAATTCCCATTTTGAATCTGATTCCCCATAATTTAATCCCACCCCTTTCCTGAACACCCTAGCATTTACTTCTTTTACAACCCCATCTATAAATATATTAAAGAACTATGGAGACATTACACATCCCTGTCTAAGACCTACTTTTACCGAGAAGTATTCTCCCTCTCTTCTACACACCCTAACCTGAGCCTCACTATCCTCAGAAAAACTCTTAACAGCATTTAGTAACTTACCACCTATTCCATATACTTGCAACATCTGCCACATTGCTCCCCTATCCACTCTATCATATGCATTTTCTAAATTTATAAATGCAATAAAAACTTCCCTACCTTTATCTAAATACTGTTCACATATATGCTTCAATGTAAACACTTGATCTACACATCCCCTACCCACTCTGAAACCTCCTTGCTCATCCGCAATCCTACATTCTGTCTTACATCTAATTCTTTCAATTATAACCCTACCGTACACTTTTCCTGGTATACTCGGTAAACTTATTCCTCTATAATTTTTACATTCTCTTTTGTCCCCTTTCCCTTTATATAAAGGGACTATACATGCTCTCTGCCAATCCCTAGGTACCTTCCCCTCTTTCATACATTTATTAAACAAAAGTACCAACCACTCCAACACTATATCCCCCCCTGCTTTTAACATTTCTGTCATGATCCCATCAGTTCCAGCTGCTTTACCCCTTTTCACACACATGTACAAGCATATATATACACACCCCTCTGGGTTTTCTGCTATTTTCTTTCTAGTTCTTGTTCTTGTTTATTTCCTCTTATCTCCATGGGGAAGTGGAACAGAATTCTTCCTCCGTAAGCCATGCGTGTTGTAAGAGGCAACTAAAATGCCAGGGGCAAGGGGCTAGTAACCCCTTCTCCTGTATATATTACTAAATATAAAAGGAGAAACTTTCGTTTTTCCTTTTGGGCCACCCTGCCTTGGTGGGATACGGCCGGTGTGTTGAAAGAAAGAAAGAAGAATTAGTTTATATTTGCAAAAGCCCTAGGTAGTAGGTTGGTAGACAGCAACCACCCAGGGAGGTACTTCCGTCCTGCCAAGTGAGTGTAAAACAGAAACCTGTAATTGTTTTACATGATTGTAGGATTGCTGGTATCTTTTTTCTCTCTCATAGACATGCAAGATTTCAGGTATGTCTTGCTACTTCTTACACTTAGGTCACACTGCACATACCTGTACAAGCATATATATATATACATACATACCCCTCCAGGTTTTCTTCTATTTTCTTACTAGTTCTTGTTCTTGTTTATTTCCTGTTATCTCCATGGGGAAGTGGAACAGAATTCTTCCTGCCTAAGCCATGCGTGTTGTAAGAGGCAACTAAAATGCCGGGAGCAAGGGGCTAGTAACCCTTTCTCCTGTATAAATTACTAAATTTAAAAAGAGAAACTATCGTTTTTCTTTTTGGGCCTCCCTGCCTTGGTGGGATATGGCCGGTGCATTGAAAGTAGAAGACACATCCAAGATTTCAGGTACCAGAGTCTTGTTACTTCTACTTACACTTAGGTCACACTACACATACATGTACAAGCATATATATACACACCCTTCTGGGGTTTCTTCTATTTTCTTTCTAGTTCTTGTTCTTGTTTATTTCCTCTTACCTCCATGGGAAAGTGGAACAGAATTCTTCCTCCGTAAGCCATGCGTGTTGTAGGAGGTGACTAAAATGCCGGGAGCAAGGGGCTAGTAACCCCTTCTCCTGTATATATTACTAAATGTAAAAGGAGAAACTTTCGTTTTTCCTTTTGGGCCACCCCGCCTCAGTGGGATACGACCGGTGTGTTGAAAGATGATGATGATGATGACTTGCAAAAGCATTCTGATGGTTAATTTAACAGTAGTGAGAGATACACTGGCCCTGCGGCTATCACAACTATCAACACAACAATAACAACAACACGTGCTGATAGCCTTGAGAAGCTTTTCTCATAATACAATTTTTTCATGTTTTCTTGGATAGCTTGCACTTATATTATGGTGGGTATTACTTACAACACATTTATTTAGTAAAAAATTGTCTCAGGTGGTAAAATATGGTATTTTTTACTGATATATGCAAGTGATAGCAGATGATAGCCTCTCATATATTTGCACACATACTGTATAGAATTTCTGACTATGCCAGTACAACCATCAACTTTAGTGCCACAGCCTCAACCATCCACCTCAGCAAACAGTCCACAACCATCCATCTCAGCAAACAATCCACAACCATCCACCTCAGCAAACAATCCATAACCATCCACCTTAGCAAACAATCCACAACTATCCACCTCAGCCCAGTAGTGCCACAGCATCCCTCTCCACTTTGTTAGAATCACTGATATACATCAGAAACCACAATATAAGGTAAGAAATATTATTCCTGTAATATTTGTAGCCCTAAGCAATGCAGTAAACATAATACATCACAACAGTGAACTACAATTACATTAGCATTTTTATTTTTTATGATTTAGAGACAAAAGAAAAAAAAAAAAGATTGCCCTTTTTGGGGGTCCAAGGAATGTAACTCTATTTTTCCACAAGTTCTTCAGTTTGTTTTACACAATTTCATCTTACATTTAATTTTCAGGAATGTATCTACCATGTTAATCGACTGTCTACTGTACAATGTATGAGAAGTGGTACATGTCATGAACATGTACTGAAGAGGACATCACTATAAATGCAATGTGTGAGAAGTTGTACTGACCTCGTACTCCCTGGACGTTAGATACTTGATGATGACGTGTTTGAGGTAGGTGTGGTTGACGTTAAGACCATTGTCAGCGCTGGTGTTGGTTGCCAGTCCTAGAGAAGAGTGACTGTCTGAGTGACTGGCTGGCAACATCCACACAGTATACAAACATTAAACAGGAATAATATGCTGATGAACAACTCTCAGTTAATTCCTGTACAGTGTACAGGTGTCCCTACTTTTATGCCGCACAAGTGTTGCAAATCCCTGGCACCTGCAGTAAGGTCTATGCCAGTTGCACATCATGACCATGTATGGATTACCAATAGAATTACAACATTAGTGAACTCATATAAAACAAATCCACATAAAGTGAGGGGGGGATACGTGTGTATGTTATTTGTAGCATACAAGGTGCCTGCCAATAAGGTCACCCCTTGTGTACAGTGCAGCTGCTGCCCTTCCCACCTCCAGGGCTCAAGTCTGGCTAACCAGTGTCCCTGAATCCCTTCATGTTACCTTGTTCACACTCCAACAGCACATTAAATTATAAATACCATGTGCCTCCACTCACTCTGATCTTACCCAGTCACACATGCCTGACAGATGTCCAAGCACCTAACACACAAAACTGCTTTTAGTGATTTCCTACAATGCTTCCTGATATGACTCCTACCTCACTTTCCCATCATCCCAGATTTTTACACCCTCCTAATTCCCCTATTCTGCTCCATCCTCTCTAAATATTAAACCACCTCAACAACCCCTCCTTCTAATCTCCAAGCTATGAATTTCTGCATAATATTCACACCACACACTATCCTCAGATACAACATCTCCACTGCCTCCAGCCTCCTCCTCACTGCAATGTAACAGTCTCCCACTTAACTACCACTGTGACAGTCTCTCACTTTACCACTGTAACAGTCTCCCACTTTACTACCACTGTAACAGTCTCCCATTTTACTACCAGTGTGACAGTCTCCCACTTAACTGTTTACTACTACTTGTTAAGAAGTTAAATATCCATTTGTCCACTTTTCCAGTTATTCTCTTTGTGTACACCTTGTGCACTGTCACACCATGGTTGTACTTGTTGTAAAACAATGTAGAATACAAAAGCATGTAGTGTGTCTACCTAAGCTTCCTGGACCATGTAGTAATGATCTAGTAGTTGTGAGAGGCAGGACCAACCTGTTCTAAACCCATGCTGGTCTGGCTAACAAAATTTTAACCCATGTTTCACACCCACAACAGTGCTGGTACCACTCTCACCTGCCTCCTGCTGGCTAGTGTTTAAAACCCAAGCTAACTTCAAGGCTGAGGGACTGACCACCTCAAAACTGTTATTTTAACTGTCTTTAATGTTGTGTGTCTTATTCATTAATAAAGACACCCAAGTGCTGTACATGTGTTTTATTCATCAATAAAGATATCCAAGTGTTGTACATGTGTCTTATTCATCAAAAAAGATAGTAACTATATTTAACCATTGGTGACAGGAGAAGCATCGCGAGGTCTGGCGTCAGTGCGATGGTCTGCCACGATATCTGCCGCTGTGTCTGCCGTCAGTCTCAGCTCTCGCTGGATTGTCTTCTTCATGTCTGCCACTCTCTGACCCTGCACCTTCAGTGCCTGAAACATCGACTTCAGGTTAAAGAATAACAAACAAATTTTTTGTCTTAAGAGAGCAGGTGTCTCCCACCAAGGCAGGGTCACCCAAAAAAGAGGGAACACACTCACTATCATTCATTCCACCACTGTCTTTCCAGAGGTGTGCCTGTACCTCGTACCTCCACCCATCCTTCAGAGTGCAGGCACTGTGCTTCCTACCTCCATCCATCCTTCAGAGTGCAGGCACTATACTTCCTACCTCCACCCAACCTTCAAGAGGGCAGGCACTGTACTTCCTACTGCCACCCATCCTCCTGAGTGCAGTCACTGTATTTCCTACCTCAACCCATCCTTCTGAGTGCAGGCACTGTACTTCCTACCTGCAGCAATCCTTCAGAGTGCAGGCACTGTACTTCTTACCTTCACCCATCCTTGAAGAGTGCAGGCACTGTACTTCCTACCTCCACCCATCCTTCAACAGTGCAGGCACTGTACTTCCTACCTCCACCCATCCTTCAACAATGTAGACACTGTACTTCCTACATCCACCCATCCTTCAGAGTGCAGGCACTGTACTTCCTACCTGCAGCAATCCTTCAGAGTGCAGGCACTGTACTTCCTACCTCCACCCACCCTTCAACAGTGCAGGCACTGTACTTCCTACCTCCACCCATCCTTCAACAATGTAGACACTGTACTTCCTACATCCACCCATCCTTCAGAGTGCAGGCACTGTACTTCTTACCTTCACCCATCCTTGAAGAGTGCAGGCACTGTACTTTCTACCTCCACCCATCCTTCAACAGTGCAGGCACTGTACTTCCTACCTCCACCAATCCTTCAACAATGCAGACACTGTACTTACCTCCACACATCCTTCAGAGTGCAAGCACTGTACTTCTTACCTCCACCCATCCTTCAGAGTACAGGCACTGTACTTCCTACCTCCACCCATCCTTCAAAAGTGAAGGCACTGTACTTCCTACCTCCACCCATCCTTCAGAATGCAGACACTGCACTTCCTACCTCCACCCGTCCTTCAGAGTGCAGTCACTGTATTTCCTACCTCCACCCATCCTTCAGAGTGCAGGCACTGTACTTCCTACCTCCACCCATCCTTTAAAAGTGAAGGCACTGTACTTCCTACCTCCACCCATCCTTCAGAATGCAGACACTGCACTTCCTACCTCCACCCATCCTTCAGAGTGCAGTCACTGTATTTCCTACCTCAACCCATCCTTCAGAGTGCAGGCACTGCACTGCCTACCTCCAGGACTCAAGTCTGGATAATTAATTTCCCAGAGTTCCATCATACGTGTCATCTTGCTCACACTCAGCAACAATAAAAATGTTGTGACCAGCAGTGACGTACTTGTTTCTTCTCCGCCAGTTCATCCTCCAGGTTCTTCACTCTCTCCTTCAAGCCGCTTATGATCTCCGATGCTTCTATCTTGCTGGCCAGGTCATCTTCCGAGCTTCTGAGCTGTGTCCTGAGCGCCTCACACTCCAGCTTGACCCTTGTGAGCTCAGCCTCCGTCTCGCTGAGCATTGTCGTGTTTGTCTCAGCCTCGTTCTCCAGCGTCCTCACACGTCGTTCTAGTGCTCCCACCTTGTCCACGTATTCGTCAAGATTCCTAGAAAGCGTCGCCTTCTCGCTACTAACCGTATCTAACTTTGATTTGATTTCTAGTTTGCCTCGCTCTAGGGTTTCCAGGGTAGTTCGTAGCTGCTGTAGTGTCTCCTGCAGTGACTTCTTCTCGTTCTGTGCCGATACCAACTCTGCCTGAGCCGTCGTTAAATTATCCTTAACGACCACTGCTTCCTCCTCCATTTCCATCAACCTCTGCTCTAATGTGGCAATATTTTCCAACTTGCACTGAAGAACGCCAGCACAAGACTGATGCTTTACTTCCTCCGCACTCTGCAATAAAATAAAATAAAGCGGCCAAGTTAGATGCCAATAAAAGCTGCTGCTATGCTATTATACAAATAAGGGGTGAGTACTAAACCCATGCCATACACAGGTAAATGGGGGCATCGACTGCTTTATCACAAGAGAATGCTAAACCCATAGGGGTCATATAGTGCCTGGGGGATGGTGGGTGATCAGTGTCTGATCTAGGGAGAGCATAGCTTTTGTGCCCTGGATCAAGAGCCCTTCACTTCAGGTAGCATAGGTTTAAAAATAGAGCTGAATAATAAAAATGATATTACTAATAATAGTAATAATTTTTTTTTTTTTCAACAAGTCGGTCGTCTCCCACCAAGGCAGGGTGACCCAAAAAAGAAACTCCCCAAAAAGAAAATACTTTCATCATCATTCAACACTTTCACCACACTCACACATTATCACTGCTATTGCAGAGGTGCTCAGAATACAACAGTTTAGAAGCATATACATATAAAGATACACAACATATCCCTCCAAACCTTTCCCTCCAAATCTTTCCTCCGTAAGCCATGCGTGTTGTAAAAGTCAACTAAAATGCCGGGAACAATGGGCTAGTAACCCCTTTTCCTGTAAAGATTACTAAAAAGAATAAGAAGAAGAAAATTGTCAAAGTGGGAAGTCTGAATGTGCGTGGATGTTGTGCAAATGATAAGAAAGAGATGAGTGTGGATGTTATGAATGAGAAGAAACTGGATGTCCTGGCTTTAAGTGAAACAAAGCTGAAGGGGGTGGGAGAGTTTCAATGGAGAGGAATAAATGGCATTAGGTCAGGGGTTTCAAATAGAGTTAGAGCTAAAGAAGGAGTAGCAATAATGTTGAAGGATAAGCTATGGCAGGAAAAGAGGGACTACAAATGCATAAGTTCAAGGATTATGTGGAGTAAAATAAAGATTGGATGTGAAAAGTGGGTTATAGTAAGCGTGTATGCACCTGGAGAAGAGAGAAGTGTAGAGGAGAGAGAGAGATTCTGGGAAATGTTGAGTGAATGCATGGGGAGTTTTGAATCAAGTGTGAGAGTAATGGTGGTTGGGGATTTCAATGCTAAAGTGGGTAAAAATGTTATGGAGGGAGTAGTAGGTAAATTTGGGGTGCCAGGGGTAAATGTAAATGGGGAGCCTTTAATTGAGCTATGTGTAGAAAGAAATTTGGTAATAAGTAATACATCTTTTATGAAAAAGAGGATAAATAAATATACAAGGTATGATGTAGCACGTAATGAAAGTAGTTTGTTAGATTAAGTATTGGTGGATAAAAGGTTGATGGGTAGGCTCCAGGATGTACATGTTTATAGAGGGGCAACTGATATATCAGATCATTATTTAGTTGTAGCTACAGTTAGAGTAAGAGGTAGATGGGAAAAGAGGAAGGTGGCAACAACAAGTAAGAGGGAGGTGAAAGTATATAAACTAAGGGAGGAGGAAGTTCGGGTGAGATATAAGCGACTATTGGCAGAAAGGTGGGCTAGTGCAAAGATGAGTAGTGGGGGGGTTGAAGAGGGTTGGAATAGTTTTAAAAATGCAGTATTAGAATGTGGGGCAGAAGTTTGTGGTTATAGGAGGGTGGGGGCACGAGGAAAGAGGAGTGATTGGTGGAATGATGAAGTAAAGGGTGTGATAAAAGAGAAAAAGGTAGCTTACGAGAGGTTTTTACAAAGCAGAAGTGTTTTAAGAAGAGCAGAGTATATGGAGAGTAAAAGAAAGGTGAAGAGAGTGGTGAGAGAGTGCAAAAGGAGAGCAGATGAAAGAGTGGGAGAGGCACTGTCAAGAAATTTTAATGAAAATAAGAAAAAATTTTGGAGTGAGTTAAACAAGTTAAGAAAGCCTAGGGAAAGTATGGATTTGTCCGTTAAAAACAGAGTAGGGGAGTTAGTAGATGGGGAGAGGGAGGTATTAGGTAGATGGCGAGAATATTTTGAGGAACTTTTAAATGTTGAGGAAGAAAGGGAGGCGGTAAGTTCATGCACTGGCCAGGGAGGTATACCATCTTTTAGGAGTGACGAAGAGCAGAATGTAAGTGTGGTGGAGGTACGTGAGGCATTACGTAGAATGAAAGGGGGTAAAGCAGCTGGAACTGATGGGATCATGACAGAAATGTTAAAAGCAGGGGGGGATATAGTGTTGGAGTGGTTGGTACTTTTGTTTAATAAATCTATGAAAGAGGGGAAGGTACCTAGGGATTGGCAAAGAGCATGTATAGTCCCTTTATATAAAGGGAAAGGGGACAAAAGAGATTGTAAAAATTATAGAGGAATAAGTTTACTGAGTATACCAGGAAAAGTATACGGTAAGGTTATAATTGAAAGAATTAGAGGTAAGACAGAATGTAGAATTGCGGATGAGCAAGGAGGCTTCAGAGTGGGTAGGGGATGTGTAGATCAAGTGTTTACATTGAAGTACATATATATGTGAACAACATTTAGATAAAGGTAGGGAAGTTTTTATTGCATTTATGGATTTAGAAAAGGCATATGATAGAGTGGATAGAGGAGCAATGTGGCAGATGTTGCAAGTTTATGGAATAGGTGGTAAGTTACTAAATGCTGTAAAGAGCTTTTATGAGGATAGTGAGGCTCAGGTTAGGGTGTGTAGAAGAGAGGGAGAATACTTTCCGGTAAAAGTAGGTCTTAGACAGGGATGTGTAATGTCACCATGGTTGTTTAATATATTTATAGATGGGGTTGTAAAAGAAGTAAATGCTAGGGTGTTCGGGAGAGGGGTGGGATTAAATTATGGGGAATCAAATTCAGAATGGGAATTGACACAGTTACTTTTTGCTGATGATACTGTGCTTATGGGAGATTCTAAAGAAAAATTGCAAAGGTTAGTGGATGAGTTTGAGAATGTGTGTAAAGGTAGAAAGTTGAAAGTGAACATAGAAAAGAGTAAGGTGATGAGGGTATCAAATGATTTAGATAAAGAAAAATTGGATATCAAATTGGGGAGGAGGAGTATGGAAGAAGTGAATGTTTTCAGATACACTGTACTTGGGAGTTGACGTGTCGGCGGATGGATTTATGAAGGATGAGGTTAATCATAGAATTGATGAGGGAAAAAAGGTGAGTGGTGCGTTGAGGTATATGTGGAGTCAAAAAACGTTATCTATGGAGGCAAAGAAAGGAATGTATGAAAGTATAGTAGTACCAACACTCTTATATGGATGTGAAGCTTGGGTGGTAAATGCAGCAGCGAGGAGACAGTTGGAGGCAGTGGAGATGTCCTGTCTAAGGGCAATGTGTGGTGTAAATATTATGCAGAAAATTCGGAGTGTGGAAATTAGGAGAAGGTGTGGAGTTAATAAAATCATTAGTCAGAGGGCAGAAGAGGGGTTGTTGAGGTGGTTTGGTCATTTAGAGAGAATGGATCAAAGTAGAATGACATGGAAAGCATATAAATCTATAGGGGAAGGAAAGAGGGGTAGGGGTTGTCCTCGAAAGGGTTGGAAAGAGGGGGTAAAGGAGGTTTTGTGGGCGAGGGGCTTGGACTTCCAGCAAGCGTGCATGAGCGTGTTAGATAGGAGTGAATGGAGACGAATGATACTTGGGACCTGACGATCTGTTGGAGTGTGAGCAGGGTAATATTTAGCGAAGGGATTCAGGGAAACCGGTTATTTTCATATAGTCGGACTTCAGTCCTGGAAATGGGAAGTACAATGCTTGCACTTTAAATAGTAATAATAACAGTAATAATTATAATAATATAGTAACAATAATAGTAATTCTTTCTTTCTTTCAACACACCGGCCGTATCCTACCGAGGTGGGGTGGCCCAAAAGGAAAAACGAAAGTTTCTCCTTTTACATTTAGTAATATATACAGGAGAAGGGGTTACTAGCCCCTTGCTCCTGGCATTTTAGCCGCCTCTTACAACACGCATGGCTTACGGAGGAAGAATTCTGTTCCACTTCCCCATGGAGATAAGAGGAAATAAACAAGAATAAGAACTAGAAAGAAAATAGAAGAAAACCCAGAGGGGTGTGTATATATGTGCTTGTACATGTATGTGTAGTGTGACCTAAGTGTACGTAGAAGTAGCAAGACATACCTGAAATCTTGCATGTTCATGAGACAGAAAAAAGGACACCAGCAATCCTACCATCATGTAAAACAATTACAGGCTTTCGTTTTACACTCACTTGGCAGGATGGTAGTACCTCCCTAGGCGGTTGCTGTCTACCAACCTACTACCTATAAATAATAGTAATATTATTATTATTAATACAGTAGACTGTGGGACAACACAAGATCTCTTAACACATTTTCACTCCAAGAAAAACTGTAGAATATTTTTGGGTGAACATGTTGTAAAAGAAATCCATTTACATGGTGGAGAACATGTGTAGGTGTGAATGTGGCAGATGTGCAGTGTAGTGTTGCTCCTGTGCCTCACAGTGAGCCTCAGAAAGAGAGGCCTACATAATGTAACACAGCCTACCTCACCCAGGGCTGAGTTCATACATGTCCAGTACCACACCTGGACTGTGCTAGTGAATAAACTTGATTCTGTCATCATTCCATCTCTTCTCTGGATCATAACAATGACACTCCAGAGGATTGCAAGTGATCCTGGAACCACAAAGAAGGTTCCTTTTTTATTAACACATCGGCCGTTTCCCACTGAGGCAGAGTGACCCGAAAAAGAAGAAACATTTCTGCCATCATTCATGTGAAATTCTTGGTGTTTCAATAAAAATTAAGATAATAAATAAGCTTAAGAGTGGTGCATGTGTGATGAAGACAGTGCCAGCCTATGGCCTGAATGAGACATCATTTTGTATGATTAAGAAGACTGAGGCAAATATATGAGCTTGTGCAATGATCAACTTAGGGTATGACCTGAAAAACAATTACAAATAGGTCAGAATAGTTAGATAAGACAAAAAAGTTGCCGAGTGAGTGGACTGAGCTAAAACCAACAAACATACATCACTTACTTTTATCTTAATAAGGGAAAACTCATTAAATACTATAAAACAGTGTGATGAGGAAGGAAGACCTGAACAAGTATGTGCATTTAGCACTGGCTGGTTCCACAAAGTTCAAACTGCAGAGTTGGTCACATAGTATTAAGTTTTCCGATGAGAGCACTTCTGCTGACCACACTGCTGAGTTATGGGAAACTATTTCTGAGGATGACTATGTTCCACAGCAAGTGTAATGCTGACAAGACAAGTCTTGATTGGAAAATGTCAGCAAGGGAAACCATAGAGATGAAGATGTCAGCAAGGGAAGAGGAAAAGGAAGAAGTACCCGAGGGAATACAGTTAACATTTCAACAGTTGTGCAAGAAGTTAAATGTTGCTGCTAAACTAGCAGACTTTTTCACTGAAGATGACCCTGACAAATCTAGAAGCACTGTTCTGAAACAGTGTCTAGAGAAGTTGATGATGCCTTACTGTGTATTGTATAAAGTACTGCAGGGCAAGAGACCAGAGATGCATTACAGAATCTCTCACTACTCCAGCACAACCATCAATATCAGTATCAAAGCCCTAACCATCCACCTCAGTTAACGATCTTTATCCATTAACCACAGCTAACAATCCACAACCTTCCACCTCAGCCCAGTAGGGCCCACCTCTCCTCTACCAACAACCAGAATTTAAGGTAAGAAGTAATATTTATGTAATCTTTCAAGCTATAATATTTTATTAAATAAAACACATCACATTTTTTTTACAATTTAGATATCTATAAAAAAAATTTGGTTGGCTCTTTCTGGGAGGTCTAATGAACATAACCCAATTTTCCCCATATGTTCTACAGTTCAGTTTACATGCATTTTTTATTACACACCATTTCCAGGAACATAATTACTGTGTTGTCTGACAGTCCTATAATGATAATATCTCATTTTGCAATAGATGTGTTTCATCACCTGATGGTGGCAGCAACAGCAGCTGCCAAAATTGTCGCAGCAGAAGCAGTAATCTTACCAGCTGTTGGCGCAGAGTGTCGATGTGAGTGTCCTTCTCAACAACAGTGTTGTTGAGTTGCCACCGCACAGTCTCCAGATCCTCCTTCAGCAGTGAAGCCTCTGATGCCAGTTTCTCCTCCATCTCTGCCTTCTCGCCACCAATGAGAGGTTCTGGGCCTTCAGGGTGCTGAGTTCGGACATCAGCGCCTCGGTCCGTCCCTCTGCCTCTTGCAGATCAGACTGAAAATATACACACACACATCTTACTACCTATAAACTCCAATAAACTACCAATAAGCTGATACTTAATACTGATGAAACTTTCTACACTATGTTTGAAAACAGAGCAAATAATGTCCAATTAAACATTATGATTAACAATACTCTTATTACTATAACATAATGAGGGAAAATTTCTGGGTCTGCACCTCGACAGGAACTTGAAATTCAACACCTATATCCACCACATTACAAAAAAAAAAAAAAAAAGTCCTCTCAAAGATACATTATTATATACCACAAACAGCACTACTCACATTATACTATTCGCTGATCCACCCCTGCCTCACCTATGCTATTTGTGCCTGGGGATCAACAACAGCAACTCACCTAAGGCCAATAATAGCCCAACAAAAAACTGCAATGTGAATGATCACACAGTTCACTGCTAGGCAACACACTCCCCCACTCTTCCAAGACCTAAACCTACTTACTATACAGGACATTCACTGTTACTACTGTGCATCCTACATATACATAACAATAAACTCTAATATTAATTCTGAATTGAAGTATGTCCTTGATAGGTGCAACAGAACCCACAGACATAATACTAAATACAAAAATTTCTATGACATACCCCATGTTTAGCTTAACCTTTATGAAAACTCAAAGTGCATAAAAGGATCCAAAATCTGGAACTCCCTGCAGATATCTCCAGAGCTACTCTCCCTGCCAGCATCTTCAAAACAACCATTAAAAAACACTTTCCTTCACTCACATATTCCAACTAAATATGATGAAACAGTGTCATATTCTCATTGCCACAAGCATATGACAAACAATATATTCTTATTCTCAGTATGTGTAATCTTTACAACCATTAAATATACTGAATGTATGCAAAATATGCTCATATGCCAGAATCTTCACTACCTGTAATCATAAGCCAACCTGTAGTCCTTAAAACAAACTCTATAAAAATGTTCACTGTAATTCCTAAATTTATTGTTACAACCACTTAAGAGACTGGATACACAGCAATCAATCAATTATTGCCTTACTAGTCTTAAGTTAGGACTAAGTGTGCCTGAAATCCTCTACATACTAAAGGGCTTTCTGCACACACACCTAAATGTCACCCACTTCTGTACAAACGTACACACTGTATCATGCTGAAATAATCTTGTCTTCAATCTTTACTTTCTATAGACAGCAAGACAGGGACTGAATGAGTGACAGTGAATGTTTTTTTTTTTTTTGGGGGGGGGGGGGAGGGGGAATCACTGTACGTACCTTGAAGGGAGACAACTAGTTCAAACAATTTTAAGTACCATACATAAGGCATTCACAAAAATCTACAGAAATCAAGAATAAATTATCTATCCAGAACAAGGTATCCATAGATAATAGACAGTATAACTGGCAAACATATGGCCATACACTATTCATGCATACTTATACTTTTGTGTATATGTTTTGAGTGTGCATTCTATGTAAACAAAGCACACTAGAATGGACTGAGACTTGGACCATTGTCCTGACTGGTGCAAGTGCAATGCTGTGACTACACCACCACAGATCTTATAAAAGCTCACCCCTGTGAGATGTTTGTGACCAGTCTCCTACCATGGTGCCAGAACTACAGTGCCACAACCACAGTGCCAGAACCAGTGCTAGAACCACAGAGCCAGAACCACTGTGCCAGAACCATAGTGCCAGATCCACAGTGAAAGAACCACAGTGCCAGAATCATATTGCCAGAACCAGTGTCAGAACCACAGTGCCAGAACCATAGTGCCAGAACCACAGTACCACTAGGTCAAAAGCCTGGCTCACTCACCCCTGGACTTGCTTCTAGGCTCACCCCTGGGTTTGGCCTGGGCTCACACCCTGGGTTTGCTTCTGGGCTCACCCCTGGGTTTGCTTCTGGGCACACCCCTGGGCTTGCTTCTGGGCTGGTTTACTTCTGGGCTCACCCCTGGGTTTGCTTCTGGGCTCACCCCTAGGCCTGCTTCTGGGCTCACCCCAGGGCTTGCTTCTGGGCTCACCATTGGGCCTGCCTCTGGGCTCACCCCTGGGCTTGTTTCTGGGCTCACCCCTGGGCCTACTTCTGGGTTCACCCCTTGGCTTGCTTTTGGGCTCACCCCTGAGCTCACCCTTGGACTTGCTTCTGGACTCACCCATGGGCTTGCTTCTGGGCTCACCCCTAGGCTAGCTTCTGGGATCACCCCAGGGCTAGCTTATGGGCTCACCCGTGGGCTTGCTTTTGGGCTCACCCCTGGGCTAGCTTCTGGACTCACCCCTGGGCTAGCTTCTGGGCTCATCCATGGACTTGCTTCTGGGTTCACCCCTAGCCTTGCTTCTGGGTCCACCCCTGGGCTTGCTTCTGGGCTCACCCATGGGTCTATTTCTGGGCTTGCCCCTGGGCCTGCTTCTGGGCTCACCCCTGGGCTTGTTTCTGGGCTCAGCCCTAGGCTAGCTTCTGGGCTCACCCCTGGACTTGCTTCTGGGCTCACCCCTGGGCTTGCTTCTGGGTCCACCCCTGGGCTTGCTTCTGGGCTCACCCATGGGTGTGCTTCTGGACTCACCCCTAGGCCTACTTCTGGACTCACTTCTGGGCCTGCTTCTGGGCTCAACCCTGGGCTTGTTTCTGGGCTCACCCCTAGGTTACCTTCTGAGCTCACCCCTGGGCTTGCTTCTGGGCTCACCCCTGGGCTAGCTTCTAGGCTCACCCCTGGACCTGCTTCTGGGGTCACCCATGGGCTTGCTTCTGGGCTTTCCCCTAGGCTAGATTCTGGGCTCACCCCTGGGCTAGCTTATGGGCTCACCCCTGGGCTAGCTTCTGGGCTCACCCATGGGCTAGCTTCTGGGCTCACCCATGGGCTAGCTTCTGGACTCACCAATGGGTTAACTTCTGGGCTCACCCCTGGACTTGCTTCTGGGCTTACCCCTGGGCTAGCTTCTGTACTCACCCCTGGGTTAGTGTCTGGGCTCATCCCTGGGCTTGCTTCTAGGATCACCCATGGCTTGCTTCTGGGTTCACCTCTGGGCTTGCTTTTGGTTCACCCCTTGGCTTGCTTTTGAGCTCACCCATGGGCTTGCTTCTGGGCTCGTCCCTGGGCTAGCTTCTGGGCTAACCCCTGGGCTTGCTTCTGGGCTTGCTTCTGGGCTCACCCCTGGGCTAGCTTCTGTACTCACCCCTGGGTTAGTGTCTGGGCTCACCCCTGGGCTTGCTTCTGTGTTCACCCCTGGGCTTGCTTCTAGGATCACCCATGGCTTGCTTCTGGGTTCACCCCTGGGCTTGCTTCTGGGCTCACCCCTGGACTTGCTTCTGGGCTCACCCATGGGTTTGCTTCTGGGCTCACCCCTAGGCTAGCTTCTGAGCTCACCCCTGAGCTAGCTTATGGGCTCACCTCTGGGCTTGCAACTGGGCTCACCCCTGGGCTTGCTTCTGGGTTCACCCCTGGGCTTGCTTCTGGGCTCACCCCTGGGTTAGTTTCTGGGCTCATCCCTGGGCTTGCTTCTGGGCTCACCCCTGGGCTTGCTTCTGGGCTCACCCCTGGGCTTGCTTCTGGGCTCACCCCTGGACTTGCTTCTGGGTTCACCCCTTGAATTGCTTTTGGGCTCACCCATGGGCTTGCTTCTGGGCTCACCCATGGGCTAGCTTCTGGACTCACCCCGGGCTAGCTTATGGGCTCACCTTATGGCTAACTTCTGGGCTCACCGATGGACTTGCTTCTGGGCTCACCCATGAGCTTGCTTCTGGGCTCACCCCTAGGCAAGCTTCTGGGCTCACCCCTGGGCTAGCTTCTGGGCTCACCTCTGGGCTAGCTTATGGGTTCATCCCTGGGCTTGCTTCTGGGCTCACCCCTGGGCTAGCTTATGGGTTCACCCCTGGGCTTGCTTCTGGGCTCACCCCTGGGCTAGCTTCTAGGTTCACCCCTGGGCTAGCTTCTGGGCTCACCCTTGGGCTAGCTTCTGGGCTCACCCTTGGGCTAGCTTCTGGGATCATCCCTGGGGTTGCTTCTGGGCTCACCCCTGGGCTATCTTATGGGCTCATCCCTGGAGTTGCTTCTGGGCTCACCCCTGGGCTAGCTTCTGAGTTCACCCCTGGGCTAGCTTCTGGGCTCACCCTTGGGCTAGCTTCTGGGCTCACCCCTGGGCTCACACAAGGGTATAGCCACAGTTAAGATGTTGTCCGGCTGAAAGATTGCTCACTGGATACAATGGCAGACGGCAGCACCTTACTATAATAAATGCCGACCTGAGCTGCTGTATGTAATACCAATCACACCATTCATTTCAAATCCCAAACCTCATAACACTTAGGGGTCGGGGCAGGCTAGAGCAACACTACAACACTCAGGACTCGTTGAAGGTTGATCCAACTCTATAATGTAAGATATGTTACCTGATCTTCAGCAATCTTGGCGTTCAGATGTCGGATCTGATTCTCCAGAGCTGTGATTTTGTCACTCCATGATGCCTTGATGTTGTTAAGTTGCTGTCTGGCCTCCTCCAGGCAGTGTTCCATGGCCTCCCTCTGTAAGTTTACACAGTTATATAGAATTATTATATATAGCAGCATGTGTGTAGAGTACCTAGGATAACCCAAAAAGTCAGACAGAGTGACTTATTTCCATTGGGGTCCTTCTACCTTATTAAAAAACAAAGGTGATAATATCATATATTATTCTATAATGGAGTTAATATCTTATTATTATTCAATAATGGAGATAATATCTTAACATCATACTATTAAGACTATCTACTATACGAGGGTCATTACTAGGAATAAGGTAAAATTACTCGCATGTTTACCTGGAGAGAGTTCAGGGGGTCATCGCCCCTGCGGCCCGGTCTGTGACCAGGCCTCCTGGTGGAGCAGAGCCTGATCAACCCAGTTGTTACTGCTGGCTGTACGCAATCCAACGTACGAGCCACAGCCCGGCTGGTCAGGAACCGACTTTAGGTGCTTGTCCAGTGCCAGCTTGAAGACTGCCAGGAGTCTATTAGTAATCCCCCTTATGTATGCTGGGAGGCAGTTGAACAGTCTTGGGCCCCTGACACTTACTGTATTGTCTCTTAACGTGCTAGTGACACCCCTGCTTTTCATTGGGGGGATGTTGCATTGTCTGCCAAGTCTTTTGCTTCCATTGTGAGTGATTTTTGTGTGCAAATTTCGGTACTAGTCCCTCTAGGATTTTCCAGGTGTATATAATCATGTATCTTTCCCACCTGCATTCCAGGGAATACAGGTTCAGGAACTTCAAGCGCTCCCAGTAATTGAGGTTTTTTATCTCCGTTATGCGAGCCGTGAAGGTTCTCTGTATATTTTCTAGGTCATCAATTTCACCTGCCTTGAAAGGTGCTGTTAGTGTGCAGCAATATTCCAACCTAGATAGAACAAGCGACCTGAAGAGTGTCATCATGGGCTTGGCATCCCTAGTTTTGAAGGTTCTCATTATCCATCCTGTCATTTTTCTAGCAGTTGCGACTGATTCAATGTTATGGTCCTTGAAGGTGAGATCCTCCGACATGATCACTCCCAGGTCTTTGACGTTGGTTTTTCACTCTATTTTGTGGCTGGAATAAGTTTTGTACTCCGATGAAATTTTAATTTCCTCGTGTTTACCATATCGGAGTAATTGAAATTTCTCATCGCTGAACTTCATATTATTTTCTGCAGCCCATTGAAAGATTTGGTTGATGTCCACCTGAAGCCTTGCAGTGTCTGCAATGGAAGACACTGTCATGCAGATTTGGGTGTCATCTGCAAAGGAAGACACGGTGCTGTGGCTGACATTCTTGTCTATGTCAGAAATGAGGATGAGAAACAAGATGGGAGCGAGTACTGTGCCTTGTGGAACAGAGCTTTTCACCGTAGCCACCTCGGACTTTCCTCTGTTGACTACTACTCTTTGTGTTCTGTTTGTGAGGAAATTATAGATCCTCACAAACAGAACACAAAGAGTAGTAGTCAACAGAGTAAAGTCCGAGGCGGCTACGGTGAAAAGCTCTGTTCCACAAGGCACAGTACTCGCTCCCATCTTGTTTCTCATCCTCATATCTGACATAGACAAGGATGTCAGCCACAGCACTGTGTCTTCCTTTGCAGATGACACCCGAATCTGCATGACAGTGTCTTCTAAAAATCATTCTCCTCCCTTTCTGTAGCTACATTCATCAAGCACCTTTTGGCTCTATTCTTGAACTGGTTCATGTTATGACTGGCTTTGACACATGCAGGCAGTCTGTTCCATTCCCTTATTGCTGTACAATAAAAAGTGTTTGAAGCCTGGCCACTGACTGTGGGTACTACAAAGTTGTGCTCTCTCCCAACCTTGACAAAACTGGCAGCAAGATATTCTGGACACTGTGAGCAATTTTAAATACACGATTTTGCTTCAGTTGCTTTACTCAGTCTTCAACATTCAGTATATCCAACTGCTGTAATTCATCCTGGCCTACATGCTCTCTTGGACCCAGGTCCAGGATGAATCTTACCATTTTGTTCTGGGTGATTTGCAGTCTATCTTTCAGTTTTTTTTTGTCAAGGCTGAGTACCATGAAGAGCAAGCATAATCCATATGACACTGTATAAGGGCTAGACATAGGGTCCTGCGAGCCTCAGTAGGTAGACACTGTGCTTATCTATAGAGGAATTTCAGTCTGGCATTTGCTTTCTTTACTACACTGTTCCTTATCAATTCTCCTAACATGCATGAGTCAAAGGGGATTCCCAGATATATTACTGAGGAAACTGAAGTGATGGGCTCCTCATTACACTGGATATTAAAATTATTTACCCTTCTCAGTTTATGTTTCGTGCCAAAGAGAATGGCTTCAGTTTTCCCGAGGTGTAATGATAGTTTGTTGTCTACTAACCATTTGCTGCAGGACTCCAGTTCCAGTGTTAAAACATTAGCTATATCTTGTGGGTCTTTACCTGTCATTAACAGAGCACTGTCATCTGCACACAGTAGGAGTTTGCACTTGACACTGATAGGCATGTCGTTAACATTGCATAGGAATAATAAGGGACCCAGAATACTACCATGGGGAACTCCACATGCTGTCAGCAGGGGTTCTGATTCCATTTTGTTGATTTTGACAATTTGTCTCCTATTGCTAAGGTAGGACTTAAACCAGTTTACAGAACCTATACTGATAGCTTAAGTTTCTTACATAATATATTGTGGTTGACAGTATCGAAGGCCTTTTGCAGGTCTAAGGTTACCATACCTATGAGGTTTCCCAGTGACATTTCACTTCTCATGTAATCCATCAGATTAATTAGGGAGGTGTCGGTTGAGTAAGATCTTCTAAAGCCTGATTGATAGCTATGGAGAATGTTTTTGTCATGAAGGTATTTAACTACTTGACAGTACACTGCCCTCATTAGAATTTTGGATATTATACTGAGTATACTAACAGGTTTATAGTTGCTTACATCAGACCTACTATTTTTCTTGAAGATAGGAGTAACTCTGGCCTCCTTGAACCCCTCCGGTATGTTATTAGTGGTGATGGGCAAATTTATTACGTAGCAATAGGGATTGACAATTCAGAAGCACCATCTTTTAGACGGGATGTTATCAGGGCCAGTGCTCTTAGTTGGGTTTAACCTGCTTAGTTCTTTTTGAATAAAGTCATGAGATACACTTACTAGTTGACAACTGTTTGGAGTTACCCCTTTATTGGTATAGTATGTTTGAAACTTATCAGAGTCTGTGTTAAAGGTATTTGATGCAGCTGGTAGTTTACTTCCTAGTGTTGATGCAACAGATGTGTAGTAGGAATTAAAACAATTTGCCACCTTAGTTGTTTCGTGGCATACCTCGTTATTGATAGTGAGTACTATGTTAGACCTATCTACTGGTTTATGGCTATACCCCAACTGTTTTAGTTGTTGCCAGAGCTTTCTGGGGTTATGTTTATACTCTTCAATTTTTAAGCAATAGTGCTTTGCCTTTGCTCCTTTTATAAGTGCTGCAATATTCTGTCTGTTTGCTTTCAATCTTTTTAGCAACTGATGTCTGGATTTCATAATATCTAATATCTCAGTAGTCATCCAGGGTTCAGTTCTCTGTTTAATCCTGATGTCTTTAGCCCTTTTAGGGTTGGTGCCGTGCAAGTACGGCTTGCACGCCAGGGTTGGTGGCATACTAGTACGCATAAATTCTAGCGCCTTCAAATCTAGCAAGAGAAAGCTGGTAGGCCTACATATGAAAGAATGGGTCTATGTGGTCAGTGTGCATAGTATAAAAAAAATCCTGCAGCACACAGTGCATAATGAGAAAGAATAAACTTTGACCATGTTTTTGGTTTAAAACAGCGACTTTGCACTGTATTTTCTTATGGTATTTACAGTTGTATTCTAGTTTTTCTGTTCTCATTTTATAGACTGGAAGACATATTGCAGGAATTGAGATGATTTTGATTGGTTTCACAATGAAAAGTACCTTGAAATTGAGTTCAAAGTAGCAGAAATGTTCGATTTTTGTCAAAGTTCAAAAGTAAACAAATCATGCAAGGTGTCCAACAGACGTCAACTGGTGAGTCTAATATTCTTTAAGAAGTGTGCTGATATTATTTATAACATTTCTACACAAATGCAGTAGTCTGCATAACAGTAAATCTTCTATTTTTTTGTGGGAATAAAAATTCATAGTGGAAAGCGAAAGAAGTGTAAGAGAGGCCTGGGGATGTGACTAATGAACAGAAAAAATATGTTTTTTATTGCCAAGAATGTCTGTCTTGTTTATTCTGGACCCTATTTGGAAATTGGCATCTTTTGAAATTTGTGTGAAATTGGCAAAATTGCCAATTTCTGATCACTTTATTGGATAGTTGAAATCAGTAAATGGGTGGTTTCTTGTACTCATTCGATAGAAAATATGGAGTTCTAGTGAAATAGTTATGATTTTTGTTGATTGGTACATTGGAATTGGCCGAAAATAGGGCTCAAATTGGGTGAAATCTCCGATGCGTAAACATCGTCGAGACTGCTAACTTCGCGAGAGCATAATTCCCGAAGTTTCCCATCAAATTTCATACTTCTGGTGTCATCATGATTGGGAAAAGATTCTCTATCATTTCATAAGAAAAAATTTTTTTTTTTTTGAAAAATTTCCGACCCTGAGAACAAGTTTAGGAGAGGGCCTGCTGACCCTGAAAGGGTTAACTGGTGCAATATTATCAAGGATGGTAGTGAACATTGTTTTGAATTTTTCCCAGGCATCATTTACATCTGTGCAACTTGTTATCTCTGTCCAGTCACAATTGTGTAGCCTATTTACCAGTGTTTCTTTATTGTAGTTTCTAGCTGACCTCATTTTTATTGTCCTGTGTAGGCCTATCTTATCTCTAGTGATTTTTCTGGTGCAGTAAATAATGAAATGATCACTAAGACCTGTGGTAATGATGCCTGACTGACTAATGTTCTCAGAGCAGTTACAAAGTATGTGGCCAATTAGGGTGGCTGAGAACTGTGTGATCCGGGTTGGTGTATTAATTAGTTGAGTGTAACTATTTAAACCT